TCGTCCTCTGGTCTCGGAACATCTTCCTGCCAGCCCTGCCCCATCGAGTTGTATTGCGCTGTTTTATAATCGCTCACCCCTTCACTGACCCTGGGAGACTCAAAGGCTCCTTGAAGGAAGAAATATCCTGCCTGGCATGTCTGCCTGGCACTTAGTGGGCACTCAATACAATGTTTTATATAAATTTCCTATTTCTGGTTTAGTTGGGGTGAAAGCACCTCAGATTCACCCAACATTCAGTTTTAATAATAAATAGGCTGTTCTGATGATGATGATGATGATGATTATTTACAATCTTCACCCAAGGATATTTTTACATTGATTTTTAGAGAGAATAGAAAGGAGGGGAGAGACAGAGAGAAACACTGATGTGAAAGAGACACACTGATTGGTTGCCTCCCGCATGCCCCAGACCAGGGTCAGGAGCCTGCAACTGCTTTGGATTCTGGTTCGTGCCCTTGACCAGAATTGAACCTGGGACCCTTTAGTCTGCAGGCCAGTGCTCTATCCACTGAGCAAAACTGGCTACGGTCTGTTCTGTTGGCTTCTAATTCAAGGAGGGGCTTAGCTGCTGGTGCCCACTGGGAATCACGTGGATGATGTTAACCAGGAGAGATTTGTTCACATCCTGTTACCACCAGGTTCACATGTTAAAATAAGAGAGTGTCGCAGGTTTGCCTGGGCTTGGCCACACATCCAGTTGCTTGAAGTTAATGGAATGATTAGCAGGTCCTATGCTTTGCCAGGCGTCTGTAACCCCCAGAGATTGGGAGCAGCCCCATGGGAGTAATATCTGAGAACTGTAGGCTTCACTCTAGCAGACTCTCGGGGGTCTTCTGAAGGCTCATGGAGGGGAGACTGGAGGGCTCATGGGTCAGCTCATTTGGATTCCTCTGTGGCTGCAATGTGCCACACTGGAGGGAATAGAGAACTCAGAGTGCAAAGCAGAAGTCCGTGACCAAATATGAGAGGTAGCTGATAAGACACAGCTGCTGGTATGGACTTAGATGAATGTTCTCCAGGGTCCGTTCCAGTTAAGCCTGTCACACAATGAACAGAGGGTGGCCTTCTTAGACTTGGCGATTTCTGGACTGTATCACTAGGATGGTTGGGATGGCTAATCCTGAGCTCTATTTTTAGCCCTTTGGAGTGAAAGCAGGAGTCATGTGCTTGGCACCAGGTAGGAATTTTCCTCTCATCCCTCATGTAGGGAAGCACTCGCCTAACACTGGGCCGAATAGGAGGCCTGGATCGCATTCCAGTCATCCCCCATGTCACCACCCCGGACCTGGCTTAGCTGGGGCACCAAAGGGGTGTGGTGGCACGAGATCCTTTCCACGGGAGCCTTTGCGGCAGCCTCACTCCTGGGTATTGAGCAGAACCTGAGGGCCTACCAAGGCAGCTGTTGGGATCTATTTACCACGATGGATGGAGAACAACTTTTTGAGGCAAAGAGGAGAGAGTGAAGGCCCCTTTAAGCTCACTGCTTGCCCAGGACAGTGTTCCTGCAGTCACAGCCTTGGTCATTGCATGGCAGGGCAGCACCCGTCATTCCGGTTTGGCCAGCAGAAAACAAAAGCCAGCGTCATTGATGCAGAGAATTCAGACATTAGAAAAGTGGGTGTTTCAAGAACAAGCACTTAGGGAAGGCCTGTCGCCAAACTGCACAGGCTGGCTGTCGGCAGCAGAGCGTGGCCGCGCCAGCGTCCCAGCAGCAATATATTCACTCAGAGGCCATCAGAGGGGGCTGGGGAAAGCCAACAAGGAAAGCGGAATAGCTACCCACTCAGCAGGTACAGCCCCATGCAGGCTACACTGCCAAGGTCCTGTCACCCAACAGACAAATCAACACCAAGGACAAATCTGAGTGGTTCAGGTGGTGGGTGGGGGGTGAATACACCTGGGGAGCTTTTCATTGAAACAGTGGTCAGAAGCTGACACGGCCTCTCTCCCATCAGACACGGAAATCTTCGTGGTAAGAAGTGTTAGGAGCCCATCTGAGGAGCAATGCAGTTTGAACCTTGATGTTACCTCTAGATAAGCATGGGAGGAGGGGCGAATCTCGGTGTGTTAGTGTTTGATGAAGAGTATGAATTCTGAGTTAAAGCTCCTGTATTTGCCACTTCTTGGCTGGTTATGTAACCATACAGCCCCAGTCTTGTCCTCCATAAAGGCAAATAAAAACCCAGGACCTGTTGGCTGAATTTGGAGGAGTCATGAGGTATAGGGCTTACCTGGCGCAGTGCCTGGCGCGTAGAAAGTGTTTGGGAAGGTTCATGTTAATATGAACATTTGAGGCATCGTGTTTGTGGCTTATGTTAGGCAGCTGACCCTTCCTTGGCAAGCCATTTGATGACTGTAGTTTCAAACTAGTTGGTTTTCTCGCCTGCACTTGTAAAGGGGTGGGGATGAGGGTGGATGGGATCATTCTCCTTCTCAGTCTCTCTCAACCGCCTCAGCTTCCCTGAGCAGGTGCAGGGTCTCCAGTCTCACCTGCTTCCTGCCTATTTCTCCTTCCTTCTTTTCTCTCTTCCCATCCCCTCCCTTTCTTTTCTTCTCACTTGTGTTTCTCCTACAACAAAGAGAGTGAGACAGGCCTGGCCACAGATATCAGAATTAGCTTTTCCCCAAAGCGATCAAGTCCAGAGTCTTTTTGGACCATCTCCAGGGCAGTCAGCGCTGTCCCCAGCTGAGGCCCGTCCTCCTCCCTGCTGAGGACCTTCAGGCCTCTCCTTCCCAAAACCTCTGATTCCCTGGTGGCCGAAAGTGGCCAGGGCTTTGGTATGACAGGGAGATCCCCAGGCATGCTCACATTCCCTTCGGGGCTTCTTCCCAAGGGCTACTACCTGGAGCAGAGGGAACTACTGGCTTTGGGTTAGAAATACACGTTCGTTTGTTGTTTGTTAAGTTCTGGTTGTTCACTCCCTGGCCGCCCCTCGGCGCCCACACCTCTCTGACCGCCCCTCGGTGCCCACACCTCTCTGCACTCTGGGAGTGAATATTTGAGTGATGCTATTTCTGGTCTGAAAAGTACAGTATTTTGATCCTCTGGCTGTGCTTAGGAACTAAGAATATTAGTGTTCAAAAGTGTTCTGGGTAGTAGAAACAAGTTGGTTTTTTCATGAGATTATGATTATTGTAGAGTGAATACTGGGATTTACCCTCTCCAGAATACCAGATCTTCTCAACTGGTAGTAACAAGCTGAATGTCATCTGGCCATATCGCATAGAACAAGCATATGGTCACTGTGATCAGCCTGATTAAAATGCATTCCCTGTTCTGTTCTGCCTTTGAACTTGGAGTAGAATCAGGCACAGCCAGGAAGGTGCTATAAAAAATAAAAAATAAAAAAACAGTACGAGATTGGCATAAAAATGTTAAACACATTTTGGTTGTTAATATGAAAAGCACCTATTATCTATAGGATGCTGTCTAGTTACAAATACAATAAAAGGAAACAGAGGAGTGATGCTAACACATAACCCCTGTGGAGAGCTTGCTAAGTGCCAGGCGCCATTCTAACGACCTCACGTATATTAACTTATAGCCCATCATGACAGCCCTACACCATGGTCTTGGCATAGAGGCAGCAAGGCTTAGTGATCAGGAAAGCACACACCCCAGGTGGGATTTCTAGGCTTCAAATTCAGGGGAGGCGAGGATGCTCTGGGCCGGGATGGGAGGCGGGAGCTCCATGAAAGAGATGGGCCCATTGTCCCTCAAAGGACATATCATTGCTACATTGTTCCTAAGAGAACCATGAGCTAATTAATGACTGTTGATACCTGGGCCCCAAATATCTCTCAGTTTATTCTGCAAATAGAGTTTTATTTTAACATTATGAAATTATGACTTTGCCTAGCAAATGCCTTTTGGATAAACTGAAACCCTTCCCTTAATCCAAAGTGACACAGGTGTTACCGAGGTCTAAACGCAGCAGACACAGAAACAAGATTGTGAAAACTGTCTGTTCAAATCTGACACAGGTTCTTCGGAGGTGATAAAACCAGAGTCAAAGGGGGTTAATAAAGAGAGAGCATTCACAAGGCCCCGGTGATACTCATGCTAGATATTTGGAACACATTTTAGCCAATATCTCCTCTTCAGAAATGTTTGCTTTGGGATTGGAGTACATTCTACAGAATGATAGAGACTTTATGTTTTGGGATCTCTCACTTGAAGAGAATTTACATGGCACATCTTTCTTAGACATTGTAGTAGTAATAAAATCACAAGAAAGGTAAACGTTTATGGTGACTCATAACGAAGATTATATGTTCAGCATTGCTTCAACTACTTCTCTCTTGTGTCATAGAATGTATTGTTTGCAACTAGCTTAGCAGTTATTTAGTTACAAATGATGTATTTTTACTAAATGATACTTCAAGGGAGAGATTTCTTCTTATTCCTTCTATTGATACAGAATTCAACACACACCAGAAAAAAAAAAAAGAAGGAAAAAAAAACCACTCTGAAGCCTTATGTTTTATTGTTGGTCTAATTACAAAGAGAAATGTTTTATGTTATATGTTGCGCTCATTATTCATTAGGGAGCTGACCGTGCATCTTTGGATGAAAGGGCAAGTTTAAGAAGGCAGTTAGTAAAATAAGCATTTGCCCCTCAGAGAAATACAACATGCGCATTTTCATAGTAAAAAATCTCATAATAGTGCTAATTAACAATGTATGATAATATATAACAGTAGATTAATGTGAAGGACACAGAGATGCAAAAAGGATTGAAGGGTGATCTATTCAAGAGCAATATGGAGAAAAGCACAACCACGGGTGGTATTAATATTATATGCAAGCTTTGCACTTTGAATGTGATCCAAATAAATAAGACTTGGCTTTGTATATTTTTATATGCTTATATAATGAGAAAATTTTCTCCTTAAGCTTATAAATATTTGCTTAATATGATTCATTAATTAAACATGTGGAAGTGCTTATCTAGCATAAAACTAGGGGACTCTCAGTGTTCGTTTTGTTTTTTCAGAATGAAAGTGCCCTTGTGAAAGAAAAAGAGCTGTCAATCGAACTTGCCAACATCAGGGATGAAGTTGGTAAGTAGGGCATTGAAAATGAGGAGCGGGCAGAATGTCTTTTCCTGATACCTGTGAATGTGTAACAAAAGCAATTATGCCTCATGTAATAAGCCAGAGCAAAGCTGCTAGACAAATGAATGTCTTACCAGCACGACGGTGGGCTGTGGCAGCCTTGCAGGGAGCCATACTTTTTATGTCTCTAGTTATAAAGCAGCTTCATAACAGTTCACAGTGGAGCTAATCAGGCCTTGACTCTGCTCCTCGCAGACGGCAGCCCATCCATCCATCTGTTTGTGCTGTGACAGGCCACGCTCCGTGTAGGCCCCCCTGGGCAGGCAGAGCGCCAGGATCAGCAGCCCAGCTGTGGTGGGCTACGCGAGGCGCTCTGAAAGATGCAAGTGTTCCATGGCTGCCTGCCCTGCCCCAAATACTCTCTGATAGAGCACTAGGCCAACAACACAAATTTGGGTGGATCAAATGCTGAGGTTCGTATTCAAACTCCTGGTCTGCTGTTCAGTCTGAACCATGAGAGACCTCACAACTGACAGGATGGTCCCCAGACTCTGGGGCTTTTACTTGAAGCCAAAAATCAGACCAAGTATTTGCTATCTTCCCTTTCTTGATCCCATTTCACTCCTGAGAACCTGCTATTCTTTTCTCCCAAGAAGCAGTCAGCAAAATTGAGATAAACATAGTCTATATCCCCTTATTCTTCTCTTTCCTCCGCCCACTGTAGTCCTGGGACAGCCCATATATGCAGGGTGGTTCCCTCCAGGAGCAGAGGGGCAGAGCAGGCCCAGCCATCCAGCGCCTTTTCCTCCAGCCTGAAAAGGTGACTCATAACTATTAGGTTAGTAGTGCCTTCCACCCAAAACAGAGGGGGCTGTCTTTCACTCTACGGTGAATCCCTCCCCAGAGAGATGTCTGCACCCTGTGGCCAAGCTTTGGACCTGGGGGTGTGCACCCTGACCTAGCTGGGTGTGGTGGGCCAAATCCAGTGCAGCTTCCCTCTGTCTTTTCCAGAAGCTTCTAAATGCAGCAAGAACCACACAAAGATTACACTGAGTTTTTTGTATTTGTCTTATTTCATTTCTGTATTAGTGCTAAGAATAGAAGCAGAAATCGCCTGCCAAATGAAAAAGCCATGGGTAGGGGGAGGGCGGATGGCCTTGGTAGCCCGTGGCCTGGCCACTCAGCCCAGTATCCGGCCCCAGGAGACACTTAGGCAGCAAGTGCCTGAGCCACTGTAGAGACTGCATTTGTGAGGGTAGAAAGCCAGGGGAATATGGGCTCAACATTAACTGAAGTTCATAAATTCTAGTGTCTTGACCTGCAAGGTATTCCCTCGAGAGAAAACAGAATTAAGCTTACAAACCTGACTTACAGATGATGGTAGACAAAGAGAGATGGTCAAGCCTATCTCTAAATAGAAATGAGGAATTTCTAAAGCTTGTAAATTCAGACTTGGAAGAGGGGAGGAAGCTGCAAAAAGTAGGTTATAGCCTGCAATAGGGCATTCCTCTGAAAGGGGCTAAAAGGCAGCCCCACTGCAGCCCACTGTGCCCCAGCTGGCATGGGGCTGCTGCCACCCACATGGAGAAGTGCTTTTTTCTATGTGCACAAAGGCGCCATGTGGGCCAGCTGTGGACCAATGCTATGTACCATGAGTGGTGACTAAGATGCAACTCGTGTCCTCAAGCTTACAACCAAAGGCTGTAGAGGATCAGCCATCTGAGATGGGCCTTGTAGGACAACTAAGATTTGGGTAGATGCATGGAAGAAGGGGAGGAGTACAATTATTGAGCACATACTGAAACCTGCTACCCCAGTAAATATGCCCTGGACCAATGGGTGCCACAATCATTTTTAGGCATTAATCATTTGCACACCTACAGAAAGGAAAACTCTGCATTTCCTCATTCATCTTTTCATGGTATGAAAAAACTTTTCATGCTTGACATTTAATAGTTATAAAATATTCTATCATACTTGTAAACTAGAATAAGCTACTGTTGGGTCCAAGTTCCGCCACTAGGGACTTGACCCCTTTGGACACCGGAAATTGGAAGAATGCATGGGTGGCTATAGGTAGGTGGGACATACTTTATTATGAACAAAGCAGCCAACAACTGGCTGGTCAGTGGCACCTTATATACTCACTCAAACAAAAGAGGCCTTGTGCCAATTAGTGACATCTGTGTTATATTAACATAAGCAGGTCATATAATGGTGCACTTGGGCAGTGCATATAGTGCTACTGCTGAGTCATTGCCCTCAAACATGCATAGGGCAAAGGGGCCTTTAACAGAGTAATACTGCTGTCTCATTGCCTCACACGTGCATATGGCGAGTGGGCCTTTAACCTCTGGCATACTCTGGTCAGAACCCCCACAGCTACTCTTCCCCTTTGAGTATTTGGGGTTTTACCACTTTTTGCTATTATGCAACAACAAATGTACTATTTGCAAATTACTTTTTTCCTCTAGTATTATTTTCCTGCAATATAGTCTCAAAAGTATGGACCAAATTTTGATAGGATTTGATGTTTGTTCTAAATTCACCTGTATGTGAAGTGTCCTTTTTTATATTTATTCTGTCAATAAAGGTAAAAGATTATGGTGTATTTAATCTCATTGAATTTAGGGTTGCCATAGAGAGAGGAAATTAAATCTCTAGCTCTCTCAATCTCTCTCTCTCCCTCTCTCTCTCTCTCTCTCTCTCACACACACACACACACACACACACACACACACACACACACCTGACAAGAGACAGATAATATCCAAATATGTACCAGCGTGTACTTTGGGATGATATTTTTGTGGTCCAAGAGTAGAGTCCCTTGTGGAGTGGCTGAAAATTGTTGTCAGTGGTGTTACGCTGTATCCTCTGTGGAGAAAGGGATCTCTGGTTCTCCTCCTGAGAGCTTCATCCATAAGTCACCCTCCAGGGATGATGGCTCTTGCCTTGTCTTTGGAGCTGGCCTTTACTGGGTCCGTCCTTGGAAAAGCTTTCCCCAAGCTAAGTGGTTGAGGGGTGAAAGGAAGCCAGGATACAGCACCACATCCAAGGAAGGAGGAGTAGAAATGCTAGTAAGAGGTTTAACATTTGATTTTTTTTTAATCAATTTTAGAATTTCCCCCAAAATGTAATTTTTAAAATCTGAGCCTTGATTTTTGCATAGTCATTCTCCAAATTTGGGAGTCAAATATTGAATAAGTGAAGGGTTGCTCTTATAGGTGTAAATGCTGAAATAGACTTATAAGATGTTCTTCCTAGAAGCAGGTCTCCTTTCGAGACCTTAGTCTTCACACTGTTAACTGATCCTCTCTCCAGCAAAACTGCCCTATTAGAAAATCTGAGCCTTAAAAAAATATATTAGATGAATTCCACCAGACAGAGAAACAGATGCAGTGCATAGCTAGTTCAGATGGAGCCTCTGGCTGACACTCCTGGTTGGCCCTGATGTTCTCCCAGCCAGACACAAGTGCTGCTGAGATATACATGCAAACTTGAGCTGGGCCAGCACTAATTCCACGACATGCCTCCTGCCTTATTCCTTCCTCCGGGCTGCTCACAGCTGTGACTGCCTGAATTTGGTATGAAAGTGCCTCTCATCTTTGAAGTTCTCAGTCCCCTCAGCTGCCCTCCTTCTGGTCTTATTTGCCGACCACTGGTCCCAGTCCCCAAGGCTGTCGTCTGCTTCCACACATGGCTTCCATCACCCTCTCTTAGCCCACTTCCTCTCTAGAACTTGTTATAACCTGTACTCTGGCTGTTCCCACCTCAATCCAGGTCCATTGGGTTTTTATCTTTCTGCCAGCTTCAGACTGAAGATGGACTTTTCTTTTTTATCCCTATTTAACACTTTAATAACACTTAGTATGAATAGTTTTAAAACAGAAAGCAGTTTTGAACAAAGCAAACATTCTGGCAGAGTTTCTTGGGTATTGTACAGAAACTCAAATGGTTAAATCTACATTTGGACTAGAGTCAGCCTATTGAACTAAAGCAAAAACAAAAAACAAACAAAAAACCGGGGATGTTTTATAATATAAAATAAGAGATATTAAAGGATTCTGACAGCTTTGATGTGACGATATGATAGGAATCTATGTTTGTAACAATATGCCACAAATTGTTGTTTTTTTATGTTTTTAAGTTACTGCTAGAATGGATTTTTCAATGTATTCTCATTTGTAACTAGCAACCCACACGTACATACAAACACCACTGTGAGTTTGTATGTGTAATGACTTTACCTATCTGAGTTATACATATAACTTGTCTTCCAATTTTATAATTATAACCCCTTATATTTACATAGTGCTTAGTACTTACCAAGCTCTGTCACATATATTTTATTTATTCATTCCAACAACTCAATGAAGTAGGTGTTGGTATCTTTATTTTATAGAAAATTGAGGCCCAGACAGATTAAGTAACTTTCCTAAGAACATACCACTGGTATGGGACAGAGTCTACTCTTAACCCAAGTCTAAATCTTCTGCACACAGTATGTAAGTTTTCCATGGCATCTCAGCCCCACCACCAAATTATTTTTGTAATTTTTAATTAAAAAATCAGATAAAATAAAATAGCCTTTTCTTCCAGTTCTGTATGACTTTGTCACAAAACCATAACAGATGCTGGTATGGATCTGTCCAAACGTGGAGTAGATTGTGATTCTATAACACTTATGATGTTCATTGGTCTCAGGCTGTTCATTAGGGTTGGGTTCAGAGGCAAAAAACAAACTCCCCAAAGAATGAAGCTTACTCAAGGTAGAATTTATGTCTCTCTTACATAGAAGTCAGGAGGAACACCCAGGGGCAGGTATGGTTCTGCGCCACAGAGTGCACAGGGGCCCAGGAGGCTTATGGCTCACTGTTCTATTGCCCAAGATTGTGGCCCTTGTCCTCATGGTCCGGCATGGCAGTGGTGCTACAGCCACCGTATCTGCACTGCAGGTAGTGGGTGGAGGAAGGAATGAGCAAAGAAACAGAGAGTGTTCTCTT